CTATTTTTTTATTTTGAAAAAAAAAAGTTTTCTTAGAGGTCGCGCTGGTCGGTTTTTTATAAAAACGCTGATGTTCTCAATTTTTTTATTTTCTTGGCATGTTAAAATGCATCTAAAAATGTGGTGTTTACATATAATTACTCTGGTATTATTGGGGAACTTTCCCTTAATTACACACCTGTCTTGGACAATTAGAATGGGTCTACTTCCCGAAAATATGCTCTCGAAAAGACACTAGTAACATTAAAGGGAGTGTCTATTCGCACTATGCCAGTGTCACTAGTGTACCAGTGTCGGGAGTCTTCGGCTCTGCCAGTGTCACCAGTGTACCAGTGTCCCCAGTGTCGCCAGTGTCACCAGTGTCACTAGTGTACCAGTGTCACCTGTCCCCATTGTCGCCATTGTCACCAGTATACCAGTTTAACCAGTGTACCAGTGTCGCCAGTGTCACCACTGTCGCCAGTGTCACCAGTAAACCAGTGTCGCCAGTGTACCAGTGTCACCAGTTTAACCAGTGTACCAGTGTCGCCAGTGTCACCACTGTCGCCAGTGTCACCAGTAAACCAGTGTCGCCAGTGTACCAGTGTCACCAGTTTAACCAGTGTCACCAGTGTCACCAGTGTCACCAGTGTCGCCAGTGCCACCAGTGTACCAGTGTCACCAGTGTCATCAGTTTTTCCAGTGTCGCAGGTGTCACCAGTTTCACCAGTGCCACCAGTTTCACTAGTGTACCAGTGTCACCTGTCACCAGTGTCGCCAGTGTCTCCAGTGTACCAATGTCGCCAGTGTCACCAGTCTACCAGTGTACCAGTGCCACCAGTTTCACCAGTGCCACCAGTTTCACTAGTGTACCAGTGAAACCTGTCACCAGTGTCGCCTGTGTCACCAGTGTACCAGTGTCACCAGTTTCACCAGTAAACCAGTGTCACCAGTGTCGCCAGTGTGCCAGTGTCACCAGTTTCACCAGTGTCACCAGTGTCGTCAGTGTCACCAGTGTCGCCAGTGTCACCTGTGCACCAGTGCCACCAGTGTCGCCAGTGTCACCAGTGTACCAGTGTCACCAGTGTACCAGTGCCACCAGTTTCACAAGTGTACCAGTGTCACCAGTGTCGTCAGTGTCACCAGTGTCGCCAGTGTCACCAGTGTACCAGTGTCACCAGTGTACCAATGTCGCCAGTGTCACCAGTCTACCAGTGTACCAGTGCCACCAGTTTCACCAGTGCCACCAGTTTCACTAGTGTACCAGTGAAACCTGTCACCAGTGTCGCCTGTGTCACCAGTGTACCAGTGTCACCAGTTTCACCAGTAAACCAGTGTCACCAGTGTCGCCAGTGTGCCAGTGTCACCAGTTTCACCAGTGTCACCAGTGTCGCCAGTGTCACCAGTGTCGACAGTGCGGCCAGTATCACCAGTGCACCAGTGTCACCAGTTTGACCAGTTTCACCAGTGTCACTAGTGCCGCCAGTGTACCAGTGTCGCCAGTGACGGATGTGTCAACAGTGTCGCCAGTGTGGTGTGATAATCTGACATCAGATTCGTAATCAGCAACCCCAGAAACCCACTGGAAACGTGTTTTAATCCTTGATAATGTTTAAAACGTTCAGTATCAACGTTTTAATTTTAGTACTTTTTTTTAATTTGATCGCCATATTGGATCCGCCATTTTGAATTTCGAAAAACTGACTTCAGATACCTAATTAGCAACCCCAGAAACCCCCTGGTACCAAGTTTCAATTCATGACAATGCGTAAATCGTTCAGTATCAACGTTTTAATTTTACTAGTCTCTTTTCGAGAGCATATTTTCGGGCACTAGGCCCATTCTAACTGCCCAAGACAGGTATATAATTAAGGGAATATTCCCCAGTAATACCAGAGTAATTATATGTAAAAAACTAATTTTTAGCTGCATTTTAACATGCCAAGAAATTAAAAAAATGAGAACATCAGCGTTTTTATAAAAACCGACCAGCGCGACCTCTAAGAAAACTTTTTTTTCAAAATAAAAAAAAAAACCGGTTTCTCTTTTTTATAACAAATAACAACAATTTGAGGTAGCGCTTATGAATTTCCAAAAAAAAATTTATTTGAACCACTGTAGTACTGATTTTTTAACTCTTGTACTAATTTTATTAATTTTTTCAATCAGTACGCTTGTTTAAAAAAAACGCAATGATGGACTGTATATTTTTAGATTTATTTAGTATTTTATATGTTACCCAACAAAAGTCCAGCTTGTTCGTAGACGGCCAAAAATCAAAAAGGGCCGAAAACATATTTACATGATTTGACATTGGCTTGACAAGTAGCTGACAAGTGGAAAGTAAAAGTGGTTTGCAAAGAGCGCCACCTATGTGTCAGGATGTAATGTTGCCATATGAACTCATGCAATGCGCGTTTATTTCTTACCATACCGCCCCCCCTGAACGACGTTCAGAAAAGAGGTAGAATGGCCACTTTTACAATAGGACGCTTATAGATGCCTCGGGCAGTTTGCACGGTGACCACTCGAACTTTGTCATCCGGACCAGCGTGGACCGCGGTAATGCGACCGAGTAGCCACTTAGTAGGCGGTAGGTTCGGTTCCTTCAGCACAACAAGTGTACCTGCCGCGACGTTTTCTCTTGCAAGCTGCCATTTGTTGCGGGGTTGTAATGATGCGATGTATTCCAGGTGCCAACGTTTCCAAAACCCTTGCATCATAGCTTGCAGTTGCGACCACCGTTGCAGCCTGTTTACGTTAACTTCCAGAAGAGAGGGCTCAGGTACAGCTGTATGTGGTTCGCCGATCAAAAAATTGAGCTGGTGTAAGTGGGTCGAGGCTATGGTCACTTAACGGGCACAGCGGTCGTGAATTCAAGATGCTTTCAATTTGCGAAAGTATTGTAGAGTACTCCTCAAAAGTTAGAACGCTGTCGCCAACCACTCGCCGAAGATGTAGCTTTATCGACTTAACATTCGACTCCCAAATACCGCCAAAGTGTGGAGCCGACGGGGGTATGAAATGCCATGATATGCTTGGAACGTGGTACCGTTGTCCGAATATAAGTCTGTGATAGGACCTCGTCGTGACCAAAACCGCTTGAATGCTGCAATGAAAGTTTGAGTTGTGAGATCGCTTACAACTTCGATGTGAAGTGCCTCACACGAAAATTGCGAACCATGCCTTTCCGATCTTTGGTGTACGGCCAGAGGATATTTTTATAGATACAGGTCCAGCATAATCCAAACCAGTATGACGAAAACAGCGAAGAGGTTGTACACGAGGTACCGGTAAGTTGGCCATTATTTGTGAGCTAGTGGCGCGGCGCTGAATAAAACACGGCTTACAACGAAACACAATTGTTCGCACAAAATTGCGTGCCGCCAAAAGCCAGTACTGTTGACGCACAATATGGAATGGTGCATCCACGCCAGTATGTAGATTGGTGACATGTACATGACGTAACAGAAGGGTAGCTACTGGGGACTCCTTCGGGACTAAAATTGGGTGTTTCACGTTGTAATTCAACGATGAATTTCCAAGACGTCCTCCAACACGCATTAAACTATGCTCGTCGATGAATGGTGTGTATCGCAGTAATTTGGATTTGCGCGAAAGTTGACAATCGCCCTTCAGTAACTTATAGTCTTTTGAAAAAGCATTGCTTTGCACGTACTTCATTAGAACGTTTTGCGCATTCTTCAACTCTTTCGACGTTAAAAAAAATTGTGGATTGTTCGCCATTGGGTGAATTCAATCTACGGCGAGAATGATTAATAAATCGAAAACAAAAGCATATTACCCTCAGAAGACGGGACCAGGAAGAAATTTTATTCAAAAGGATCTCCAAAACGTTATCTTCGTGGAGCACATGAAGAGTTGCTTCAGTGTTTGATTTCCTTTCAGTAAGAGCAGCGGTCTCGGTTGACCTAGAGAATTTCGCTTTGACGGGTGGCCAAGCTGTTTGATGGTTCGCTAGCCAAGATGGTCCGTTCCACCAGAGCTGATGTTCCGTTAATTTGAAGGGAAGAAGTCCTCGCGATACACAATCTGCTGGGTTGTCCTCCATGCGAATATGCTGCCAACAGCTGCGTGGGCAAGCATCTAGAATTTCAGCAGCTCGGTTGCAAACATATGTGTTCCAGGTTCGAGGCGTAGCTGATAGCCAATGCAGCACCACTTCCGAATCTGACCAACAATAAGTACCTGAGATTTGAATTGTTAAAGCAGATTTTATCAAGGTCAGCAGTTTTGTCAAAAGATGTGCAGCATTCAATTCCAGGCGCGGAATTGAGATTGGCTTTATTGGTGCTACGCGCGTTTTGGCTGCGATTAAGTTGACTATGTAGCTATTGTTTTTGTGGACCCGACTATAAACAACTGCACCATAAGCCTGCGTCGACGCATCGGCAAAGCCATGTAGCTCTATTGCTTCAAATGGTGAGGCGATGTACCGTGGGACTCGTATCATTGCCAGCTGTGGTAGCGACTTGATGAATGTCTGCCAACGCGCGCACAAATTGTCAGGAAGTTGCTGGTCCCATTTAACCGCACTTAGCCAACTTTCTTGAAACACGATTTTCAGCAGCACGGTAGCCGGTGCAAACAGACCAAGTGGGTCATAGATCTTTGATAGTTCAGACAACATCGCTCTTTCTGTTGGCTTACCAGCAATATCCTTTCCGGTAAATTTGGTAAACAATACGTCGTCGCAAGGATTCCAGTGTAACCCCAAAATCTTCACTGAAGGCGCGGCTGCCTCTGACCTATCCGATATTGCCACGGATTTGTACTCACAGGGGTCTGCACTCAGAGTTTCTAGCAAAGGCCAACAATTGGAACTCCATAAGCTCCTCGGCAGAGTCACATCCGGTTGTAATGTCATCTACATATGCGTCGGAGCATAGAGCTCGCGCTGCCAATGAATATCTGCTTCGGTAGTCATCTGCAAGTTGCTTCAAAACCCTCACCGCCAAAAATGGCGATGGAGCTAGCCCGTATGTCACAGTAAGCAGTCGTTAATGAGAAATAGGGGAATCTTCATTTTTGCGCCATATGATGCGCAGATAGTTGGTGTGTTCGGGAGCAACCTGTATGCCGCAGAACATCTTCTCAATGTCGGCGCAAAATACATAACGGTGCTGACGAAAGCGGAGGCAAACTCCAATTAAGTCCCGTTGAATTGGTGGCCCGACTTGTAAGCGATCGTTAAGTGAGAAACCCGTGGCGTCTTTGCCCGAGCCATCAAATACCACTCGGCATTTCGTCGTAGAGCTATTTGGCTTAAGTACGGCGTGATGAGCCAAATATACGCAGGTAGCTGGGTCCTCAACTATCTGCTCCGATGTGAGCACTTCCATATGCCCACGACTTAAGTAATCATCCATAAAGTCAAAATATTGCTGCCTTAATTCCGGAAATCGTAGCAGCTTGCGCTCCAGCGAATGAAGGCGGTTAAGGGCTTGTGGTAAAGTGGCCCCAATCGGCGGAGCGTTGTTCTTGAATGGGTACTGAACCACGTACACTCCATCTTTGTTGCGCCTGTGTGTTTTTGCAAAGTGCTGTTCAGAGGGATCACTTGCGTCGATGACAGCCTTGGGTGGCAGAACGCGGTCCATCTCCATAAAAGAACGAACTAATTCATCAAGGTCTAATTGCGCGTGATGTGCCAAAGCAGGTGTCGAATCTTCGTCAGCAGAACTGTAGGAGCCTGCAATGACCCAACCAAAAACAGCGATAGGAAAGTCGTTACCAAAGAATTTGCGTTCTCCATTGTACAGGTTCCATAGTTGATCCGAGCCAATGATGACATCTATGGCGCCAGGTTGACCAAATGACGGATCTGCTAAAGGCAACTGACATATTTGCTCCCAGGTGGATGAGCTGGTGTTGATCGCTTGCGCTGGAATCGATGACGTTAGTGCACTCATGATTAGCGTAGTGACTTCAACAGATTTGTTAGATGTGCGTGACAGAAGTTGGAGCCTGGCACGACCCCTTGTGATGCCAGCACTGTTAATGGCAAGGCCGACAACTGAAATACGTGCGTGTGTTCGCGGAGCTCCGATCCGCTGAATAAATGCCTCTGTAGCCAAAGTGATTGTTGACCCTGTGTCAAGAAGTAGACGGCAAGTAGTTGTATTGCCCCAAGCATCAACCACATTTGCGAGAATAGTTGGTAGAAGCGTTTGCGTGCGGGTCTGATAAACCTTGCCCAAGGTGTGATGGATAACACCTGCCGAAGAAGGTTGAGTAGCCTTAGGCACCGAAGAAATTCCGCTGCAATCTGCGCTCTCTTTAACTGTGGGGGTGTCATGTGGAGTTTTCTGCTGCGCACCATGAACCAGGGTGTGATGTTTAGCGCTGCAAATTCGGCAAGTAAAACTTGAGGTGCAGTTCTTGACCGTATGTGCACGGCTTAGGCAGTTAAAGCAAAGCTTGTTTGTCTTCACAAACGATCGAAGAGAGTTTAAGTCCAGTGACTTAAACTGGCTGCATGAGGAATTTGTATGAACTTGTTGACAATATACGCAATGAGGTCCAGTCCGTTGTTGATCAAGAACAGCATGGTGAACCGCAGCTTGTCGTCGACTCGAAGAAAGACGTGGTGGTTGACAAGATTCCAGTGCATCACATCGAGAAAATAAAAACTTGAAGAAGTCATGAATAGTAACATCTTCTTTGCTAGACACTTTGCTTTCTGCCCAAAATTGTCGTGTGTCGGTATCAAGTTTCGTTAGAAGAATATGTATGAGCCACGGGTCACGCTGGATGCATTTAAGCGCACTCAACCCGCGAATGGCCTCATCAGCCCCATCGACCAATTTTCGTAACGCAGCGACACTCGATCCGCTTACGCTAGGAAGTGCTAGATAATTGCTTATAAATGAGCGGACAATCAACGGCTTCTTGTCGTAACGTTGCACCAATCGCTCCCACGCCCCCTTGTAATTGTCGTCTGTGACGGTAATATGTTTGACCAAATTCAATGCTTCACCATCCAAGTATCATTTCAGATAGTGAAACTTTTGACAGTTGGTCAGATTCGCACGCTTATCTATCGAGACCAAAACCAAGTCGCAAAATTGCCGCCAATCTTCATAGTTTCCCGAGAACGTAGGAATCTTTATTTTTTCCAGGTGTAATTCCGTGTGGCTACTTGACTCACGTAATTTTTCCAAAAACTTAGTTTGGCTGGAAACAAGGCATTCTATTGATGTTTCAGAAGCGGTTACATCAACAGCAGACGGTTTTGTTTCTTTTCGAAGCTGATTTAACGCTTGAGAAAGTACAGAATGCGTGAAAAAGTGTTTCTCCTCATACTCCACTACATCTGTGGCCGGATCGATGTAATCAGGTTCATCCTTGTATGTGCAAAGGTGTTCGCTAAGCTCAACAAATCGCTCGTAATTTGCATTCAGCTTAGCTAAGCGATACTCCAAGGTTTCCACTGACGTGCTCGCTTCTACCACTTCAGCCACAGTTGCATGCGTACGAGTTATTTGCCCCTTGCAAAAGCCGCGTTGCTGGATCAGGCGATTCATTGTATCAGGAGGTTAAACTCGTAAGCCGTACGGCCAATTTTGCCAAAAAAAAAAAAACAAAAAACGCACAAAAATTCGTAAAATATTATTATAGTATATTTACGCCGGGCGATCCGATTTTAAGGACCAGCAAAT